AGACAGCGGAACCGAGGACAGTCCAGCAGTGTTGAGGGACCCTTCTGAGTATGTGCCCCAGTGAAAGTGCCCGGCAGGTCCTCGAAGATGCTCATGTCAAGGTGATATTCGGACGCCGAGATGGAGGCCACCAAGGAGGTTGTCCCTAGGGGAAGGGATTCGTCAAATGTGGAGATGCAGACTTTGCAGCAGGCTCTCTGTGAACGAATGAAGCCAGCCTGACCCCCACAGCAAGTGCTTGGTTCTCACTCACACTAGTGAGAGACCCAAGTCTGTATCCAGAGCTGCTCACCCAGCTCCTCTGGGGCAGGACTAAGGACAGAGCCAGGTGTCCACCCCCTAGCGTGGCGCTTTCTCCCAACAGCTCCCAGAGCCTCTCCTTTGTGAACAGCTGCCTTTCGTGTTTGGTTTGGGCTTGAGATGTTAAACAAATAGTGTCTCTTGACAAATGCAAGCCGGCTGCACTGGGACTGGTTATGCTTTGTAAATCCAGGCTAATCCTCCATGTCTTTCCCTCAGGGATACACCAAGAAACACCTCAGTCATACCCAAAGCACCCCGAATCCACTCAACCAGCCATGGGCCATCAGAGGCCAGGATCCCTGGTGCCGATCTCCACCAACCAAAGCCTGCTGCAGCTTCTGGGCCTACCAGGCCCCCCATTCTCAGGCCTCCTCCTCGGTGGATATTAAGATGGTTCTGGGTACTCCTTCCTACAGCAAACCAAGGACCGTATTCCAAGATGAGTAAGGCCTTACCCCTGCCCTGCAGGAGCTTATGGTCTGGTCTAGACAAGATGAACCAGAATGTCATGTGAGGCTCCAGTCCAACCAGTAATGGGACTTTTTGAGATAGGCAACCCTTTCATCCTGTAGAAAAGGAAGCTGAGGCACAGAGAGGCAATGTGACACTCTCTCAAGTCCACCAACTAGTTGGTAGTTGGTGGCAGCTGGGACCAAGCTCTGGGTGTCTAGACTCCAACTTCAGTGCCCTCTCCACATGCTTCCTTGGGCCTTAGGACGCTCACATGTGTCTTTACCCTCTTTCCTCAGCCCGGCAGGGCTTGCTTCAGCTTTAGAAGTGTCTGTTGACAAAGAGTCACAGAAGCAAATTGCCTGGTGTTTCTTCCTACAGACACTGCTCTCTATACTCCTGTCCCCACTGACGCTGCTGGTCTCTAACCCAACACGTATAGGATGCTTTTAGGACTTCGCTGTGTACCAAATACACAACAAACATGTGGAATAACTCTGATGTGCAAAGCACTGAGCTCCCCACTGTGGGGAGGCGTAGCATAAGAAGGGTCTCCGCCCTGGAGGAGATAATGAGCCAGTGGGGAAGACAGATATTAAAAAACTGACCAACCTACTAGGTAGGAGGAATATCTACTGAATTGAAGCATAGGCAAGGTGCTATGGAAGCACAAAGGAGCTAGTGGTTCTGACTGGAGGTAATGGGGAATGGTTCATGGGGGGAGTGGCCCTTGAGTTGGGTCTTGAAGCCTGAACAGGAGTTCAATAGATAAACAATGGAAGAGTCAAGGAAGTACCAGCATCCCAGCTGATGGGAGCCACATGAGTCAGAAGTAACACAGGAAAGTACTTAGATGTATCCAGAGCTTAGAGAGGAATGACATGGAAAACAAAGCTGGAAAACATGTGTATAAAGTTTAGTACATAATAATATGCAGCAACTAATGGTACATTCTGTCCCATTTATCCTAACTCTGATTGTGCACTCTTCCTCACAAACTAAAGTCTTAGAAGTAGTGACTAAATCCTCTTTGCACCTGATTCTTGGAAGAACTAAAGAAGCAGAAGCAGGCCAAGAAGGTCATGGGATGTTATAAATGAAGGGAGCATAGACATGTCCTGGTCCAAACCACTCCATTTATGGATGTGCAAACCAAGGCCCAGAGAGAAGGAGTGACTGGCCCTGAGTCCCACAAGAAGCAAGTGGAAGAGACAGGACCCCAGCCCAGGCACCCCAACTCTCCATCCCATGTTCTCTATACTGGATCAGATTTCAGAAAATGATCACACAGGAGGCCGGCCAGTATCATGATTTGAGGAATGTAAAACAATTCTTTCGAACTGGCCCAAGGCATTCTCCACTGGAATCACCGATAGATCGAAAAAATAGAACACAGAGAAGTCATAACTGAGCGGATTTTAGCATTTATAAATACATGATTGATAGAGGTGCTTTCTGACATGTGGCCCTTGGCAGAGGATGAAGCAGCCCCACGAGGGGTGGGGCCATACAGGCAGGTCCCAGGAGTCCTGGACAGAAGGTGAGATAGGCTTCTAGATCTTTGGTGCTATCCCATGCAGGTCAAGGGTGAGCTGATGGGACTCCTGCCTGCAGGACCAGGGCCTACTCAGAAACCTAGACTGGCACTGGCCTGGCTCCCCCCAACCAGTTCCCCCTCCTGAAGAGAAGAAAGGGAGAAGGGACAGGAGGGTGCAACCTAAACTGACCTCCTGGGCTCCAAGGACACTGGGGATGTGCTGCCCCCCCCCTGCCAGCAGGTGTCCTGATCCCACACATATAGGGGCTACAGGAGAAACCCCAGCCATGGGATATAAGTTTTGGCCCCCCTTCGCTCCCTGTGTGACCTTGAGCAACCCCCTTCCTACTCTCTGGGCCTCAGTTTCCTCCTCTGCAACATGAGAGGATCAGGTTAGCTGGTCTTTAAAGGTCCTTCTAGTTCTGAAGTGCTGTGAGAACAAGCTTCATCATAATTAATAATAAATGCCCTGCCCCTAAAGAGAGCTTTTTCCCTTTTCCAAAGCTCTTTCACTCATAATATCACCTTTCATCTGCACAACAGTCTGGACTGGCAGCCAGAAGTGAGCAGACCCTGGACACACAGCCTTTCACACTGAAAACCAGGCCTCTTGAGCCTTGCTTATTTAGACGGGCTTTGGGGGAAGTGGCTTCTGGGGCAGTTGTGGCCAGGAGGACAGAACCTAACTTGTGCCCTCATCCCGAGGAAGCCAGGAAAGGCGGTGCTTGTCTTCCAGGGAGCCAGAAGATGCCAGGGGTGGGGGGGCTGCAGTAGGTTGAGTTCATGGCCAAGGGTGCAGAAAGTTTGTGTCGGATCAAAGACTCTAGTGTAATTAGCTATTCCATTTACAGGTGAAAAAAACTGAGGCTCCAGGGGTCAGTATGGAGAAGAGAATGGGTTGGGAAGGCAGACTGAAGGCTTCCAGATGAATGACCTTGGACAGTTCTCTGCACTGTCTTTTGCCTCAGTCTCTCCATCTCTAAAATGGACATAACCATACCTACCTTTCAGGGTTGTGGTAAGACTAGAGATAATAAATGTAACCTGCCTAGCCTGACACACAGCAGATGACTGATACATACTCTCTGAATGAATGGTTGAAAGAAGCAGTGGGTTGGTAACATTCCTCAGAGAGGCACTGAAATGCCCAGCAGTGACAGGTCAGGCCAGGCTGTGGGCAGATGATTCTCCTGCTTCTGGATGGCTGCCTTCTCAACCTACCCTTAGTCAGGGCCTTGGGGCCTCTTCCCTGTCTCTCCTCGTGGCCCATGTCAGGGTCCCATGAAAGACTTTCTGACCCTCCTTGGCAGTGGGATTTGCATTCCGATCATTCTGCTCACTCGGCCCATCCAAGTCTGGAGTTGTTTGAAGCTAAGCAAGGCCTGCGGGATCATCTGCCATGGCACCTCATCGAGGAGATAAGGAAGTGAGACTCTGAGAGGGGCAGTGACAACTCATCTGAGGTCCCACGGCCTGCCCCTCCTCACCGCCACTGCCACCATGTTGACAAAAGAAGACACTGAGCCACAGAGGGGCCTCCTGTTTCCCCCAGTCTGTCAGCAAGCCTCCTGGTCTGGGCCACACCTGCCCTTTTTCAGCTAGCTAGATCCCTGTTCTGTTGGGATGCCCCCTGTTGATGTCCGACACTATCTCTGACAGCCCACCCCAAGCCCAGCCTGGCCCACTGGTGCAGGACTGGGGCTATGGATGTCAAGACAACGCAACAGCCCCAGGGCAGCAGAGGAGAGCCTGGGATTCAACACTACTGGCTTAGGCTCAGCCTGTGCTTTCTCAGCCAGTTCCAGGAGCATCGCTGACCTGGGAAGGGTCACATTTCATGAGAGCAGGGCTTTCCCTTGGGTGTTGGTCTCAGGGTGCCCAGGTCCACAGCTGTGCCCTGCTGTTTCTAAGACAGCCAGCAAGCAGCCTGGTGTGCTGGTGTGCGGTGGGGGGTGGGGGGTGTGGCCTGGGTGGAGGGAAGCACGGCTGAATCCCAGTGCTGGCCCTAGTTCACCGTGTGCCCTTGCATGTCACTTGACCTCTCTGTGCCTCAGTTTCCCCATGGACGTAATAAAGGGCAGGACAGCAAGACCCAAGGTTCCTTCCAACTAAAGCATGCTGTAATTTCGGTGGAGATCGGGGGAGGCGGGGCGGGGGGGGGGGGAGGCGGGAGGCGGCTCGCTCTGCCTCTTCCTTTTCCCTCCCTTGCTTTTCTTTTTCCGTCCTCAGTTTATCTCCAGCTATCCAGGTCTCCCTGTCTCTGTCGCTCTTTCTGTTTCCATCTTTCGCTCTCTGCCTCTCTCGCTCTGTATTTTTCTGCCTGCCGCTTCTTTTTCTGTGCCTAGGAGTCTACCTCTGGCTTTATCTCCTTATCTGTCACACCCCCCTCTGCCTCTTTTTCTCTCTTTCTCTGTAGTTACAGGCGTTTCTCTGTCTAGTTATCTCTTTTCCTGGGTCTCTCTCCTTCGGTCCTGCCCGGTCTCTCCGCCGCTCTCCCGCTCGCTCCCCCTCCCCTCCCCCTCCGCCAGCCCCCCTCCTCCCTCCCTCGGCGCGTCTCCCCAGTCCTTATTTGGCTGGGCGGGAGGGCTGGCGGGAGGAGGAGGCCTGCGGGCGGGGGGCGGGGGGCGGGAGCGGGGCCGGGCGGAGGAGGGCGGTGGGTGGTGCTGAAGGGACAGCTCCGCGGCGGCGGCGGCGGCGGCGTTGGCGGCGGCGGCCCCGGGGCGCGGAGCGGGTGCCCGGCTTGGGGAGCCGCGAGCGCAGCCATGCCCCAGGCCGCCTCCGGGGCAGCAGCAGCGGCGGCCGGAGCAGGGGCGCGGGCCGGGGGCGCCGGGGGGCCGGCGGCGGCTCGGGTGGGACGATGAAGCGGCAGAACGTGCGCACGCTGGCGCTCATCGTGTGCACCTTCACCTACCTGCTGGTGGGCGCCGCGGTCTTCGACGCGCTCGAGTCGGAGCCCGAGATGATCGAGCGGCAGCGGCTGGAGCTGCGGCAGCAGGAGCTGCGGGCGCGCTACAACCTCAGCCAGGGCGGCTACGAGGAGCTCGAGCGCGTCGTGCTGCGCCTCAAGCCGCACAAGGCCGGCGTGCAGTGGCGCTTCGCCGGCTCCTTCTACTTCGCCATCACCGTCATCACCACCATCGGTAACTATTCGCCCGCGGGGGGCGGGGACCCGGGGGCTGGGCGCCGCGTCGCGGGGTAGTCCCGAGCCGGCCGGGGCTGGCGGGGCGGGGGGTAATCCCCCGCAGAGCGTCTAGGCGCCGAACCCCGCGCTGCCAGAAACCCGAGTTCAGCCTGGCTTGTCTGCTCCGCGGTGACAGGACTCGGGGGAGGCGTCGATTCCTGGCTCCGGACCTGACTCTCCGGCCGGGCCAGCCCTAACTTGTCCCTGCCAGGCTGCGCGAGGGCCTCAGGGGACTCTGAAGTGTGTGAGAGGGGCAGGAACGACCGGCGGAGGCTGGGGAGGAGGGGTGTGGCCGGGCCAGGCCCTGGAGCGGAGAGCTGAGTGTAGAGCGGCGGGGAGCGCGCAACTCCGGGTCCCTGGCAGATGGGCTTCCGCACCTTGGCGTGTCTACACCGGCTGGGGCTCCAGGGAGACGTGTGGATGCAGGTATTCTGGCACTCCGTGGCACTCCTGCCTACTCTGGGTGCCTAAAACACCCTCCAACTGCCTCTGTGAGTGCCGCTTGGAGTGTGTGTGTGTGTGCGTGTGCGTGCGTGTGTGTGTGTGCGCGCGCTCGCGTGCGTGCGTGTGTGTGTGTGTGTGTGTGTGTGTCCTGCTCCCAGAGTTTGGGCACAGCCAGCCAGTGCCTTTAATTTTCTTAGGGCAGCAGATTTGGTGCTGGAAGCCAGATGCAGCTCTGTCTTCCTTCTCTGTTGTCCCGGGGAAACAGTCAACCCGCAGGAATGGCCTCAGTTCCCTTCTCCACACAGCGGTGCGGCAGGCCACACACACACCCAGACTCTCTCACAACATAGGCACAGGCACACATACATACAGGTACATACACAAGCACACACAGGGCAGACACAGGCACGCACACACAAAGCACACAAATGGAGGTCCGGGAAAGGAATCTCCAGTGCTATTTGGAAGTGTCCAAATAGGAGTAAACACTTCACCGGCTCCCAAGACTCATTCCAGCCCTGCTCCATCACTTTTCCCACTACGTGACCTTGGGTAAGTCCCTTCCTCTGTCTGGGTCTCAGGCTCACCTCCAGACCATGAGGGGTTGGCTAAAATGATCTCAAGCCTTCCGCCCAGTGCTGGCACGCTCCTAGCCCACCTTCCCCCAAAGCCCATTGGGATGCCTCCAGGCTTCCATCTTTCCCATGCCTTCTCCTCTCTCTGGTCCCCCTCCTTGCCTTGGCTGAGCTCCCAGGGGCTTGTTGCCACTTGGCATAGCCCATGACAAGATGGCAGTGTTTTCCTAGGAGTCCACAGGAGTTGAGGGGGTAAAAAGCAGGACTGGACTCTGTTCCTGCAATCTATCCACTGCAGGACTTTGTCCCAAGGCTCCACTCCTCTCTGGGGTCCATGGGGATCTCTCTATGTAGTCTCTGGATTCCCCTCTTAGAAGAGGAAGAAAAGGGCCCCAGGAGTAGACGTGGCTCAAATGGGGGCACCTCTGGGTCCTGCTGACCCTGTGAGTTTAGGGCAGAATAGTCAGACTCAGACCTGCCCAGAAAGGAGCCTCCCTTCCCCCACTTCCCTGCCATGTGCCAGGGTTTCAGGAGCACTGAACAATGAGTTAGGCTTTCCCCCTTCCTCTTCCCACAAGTGGTGCCTTTGATTGTGTGTCCTCTTTCTCAGTCCCATGGTCCCTAGCTCCACAGTAACTTCCCAACTGACCTTGCCTCCAGCCTCATTCCCCCATGGAATGAGCTCCCCCTAGACAATGCTGCCAGAAAGAATCTCCCCAACGTGCAGCTCTGACCATACCACTACCCTCTCAGAAGCCTTCAGTGGCTTCCAGCTGCCCGTGGAATCTGGTCCATGCTCCTTATTCCAAATTCGAAGGACCTTCGTACCTGGCTCTAACTCTGGCTCCAACTTCATTTCTGTTCTTACAGACATGATCCCTCCACTGCAGTCAGACTGTCTCCTGAGAACACCTTCAGTGTGCCTATGGGGCACACCTTTTTCTCTGTCTTCTCTTTGTCTTGTCCAAGCTAACCTTCCAGGTCCAGCTCCAATCCCACTTCTTCCTTGAAGTCTCCCAGACCATCCCAGGCCCCCACTGTATTCAACTGCAGGACTCACTGTCAGGACAACCTGGATGACACAGTGTAGGCTCTCTTGCATGGTTATTTACATTTTAGGGGATATGTTTTGTCTCTTTAACTGCACTGCAGTTAACCTCCGTGTGGGCAGGGCCCTGTGGTTCCCATCTCTGTTCTCCCAGCGCTGGCACACGAGCACTCAGAGAATGCTACTGATGGGCTGAAGGTGTGCAGAAATGAAAGGGCATCATCCTTCCCCTCCATCCCTGCCGTTTCCCAAAGTGCTTATAGTTCTTACCCAGACAGATGCTAAAAGCTGGGGGTAGAGGCAGACCGAGTGCCGTTCTGGTGATATTTATTGATACAGCACTGGGCAAGAGGAAAGACAGCATCAATGCACCACCCTAGTTGTGTGGGGGCCCCAGAAAGGCACTGCCCACTTCCTGCCCCACCCAACCCTCCCTGGCTTTTTGTCACCTCTCTCTCTGGCTACACCATCTGGCTGGAAACGGTCCACAGGGGCTCTGCTCTAAGACAAGCCTGTCTGGGCTGTGATCAGATGGCCAGAAGGGGCCCTGTATGAAACTGATGGTGACCCAAAACCCAGGGGCAACAACCTCTGTCCACCTGACCCCTCTGGGGACCCAAACAAGTCTCCTGAGGCACCGGGACTCACATTGGGATAGAAAAATGACAGAGCCCCCCATTTAGTGATCCCAATGCACACTCATCTCATCACTTGAGTCTCAGCGTTCGCCGCTCAGGGAAGTTGCCAGGGCAGGAATTATTAGCTCCATTGCACAGATGGAGGCATGGAGGGAAAGGAGGGGAAGGGACTCCCCCAAAGTCATGCAGCTGGTGAGCAGCAGAGTTAGAGCCTGAAGTCTTCTGACTCCAAGCCCAGTGCTCTTTCCCTGCCGGTCTCTTGGCTGCTTCTTCTGCCTCCATACGCTGTGAAGCCCAGAGCCAGCTGAAATTGGCATGGCCAGGACGTGCTCAGTGATGCCAGCTCGCAGGGCACTCTCAGGCAGCCCCGATTGGTTGAGGGTCGGCAGGGTCTAAGTTAGTCATTCACCTGGTTAGTCACAGTCTCCATGGGCTGCAAGGATTCCTCCAGCTCCCTCATCCCTGGCCTCCCAGCCAGGAAACCCTTCCTTTATTGTGCCCTAAGTTCATCAAACGCAAACGGAAGCTCTTTTCTGGGAAAGCTTAACCTCTCTGGCTGTTGAGTCATTAAACTCCTCCGGGGCCCCAGCCCCATCTATTCATAGCCCGGAGGCTGTCAGGGCTGGAAAGAGACTCAAGATCAGCTAGTGGCACCCCCTCCTCTTACAGATAAGGAACCAGAGAGGTGACAGGAGTCACCCAGCCAGGGGTTAGCCGAACCTGACTCCCGGGCCTCCGCTCCTTCCACTCGTTCAGGATGCCTTGTATTTGTTATTATTATTGACAGCAGGAACAGCAACAATAATACTAGCAGCCACCGTTTATTGTCTACTCTTTGTCAGGCTCCATACGCTCTCATTCGATTCTCTCTCCAACCCCCCCAGAGGGGCATTATGACTCCCATTTTTCAGCGGAGGAACCTAAGGCTCTGCGTGTAGATGACTCATCCGTGGCCCTTGTGACTTGAAAGTATGGCACCTGCCCAGATTCAGCTGAGCCTCTTTGACTCCCATGCCCTGGCTTTCCTGCCAGTTCTTTCTCCACTTCAAGAACTCAGCCCAGACCCTTGTATCTTGAGGGCAATGAGGAGCCAAGGCTTGTCTTTTCCCCTGGAAGCCCTTCCCAGCAGAGCGCCTCTTCCTCCAGCACCCTGCAGCCGGCCTGCTGCTCCCCCCACTCCGGTCCCTGGTCAACCCAGGCCACATGGCAGAGCTGTGCCCAGCACCAGGCCCTCTCTGAGACCACCACGGACTCACAGGTGCTGTTCTCCCATGGGGGGCCCCCCGTAATCCTCGGGGCTCTAAGGCAACAAGAGGCCAGGTGATTGATTAGCTGAAGGAGTTGGGGCAGAAAACCTTCTGTTCTGCTCTCTCCTCAGCTTCCGGCCTGTTCTCAGCTGAGCACAGGCTCCCATCACCCACCACGTGGCCTGGGAGTCCTTAGATTGTGAAATCAAGCAGGCAGCTCATGAAGGAACTTGTACTTTCTGCACCTTTCCGAGAAGGAGGAAAGTACAGAAGTGACCTGCCACCCAATACATCCTAGAGTCCTCAAATAAGAGTGAAAGGAGACATCAGCAATCAGCCAAACAGCCAGAGAGGTGAGTGACTTGCCCAAAGTCACACAGCAAGTTGCAAGCACTTAGAACTGAGGCCTTTTGATCCCCCACTGGAGTTCTCTCCATCACCCTAGCCTGTTCCCCTCACCACCCACCATCTCTCTTAGCACTGAGACCTCCGGTTGCTTTTCACTCCACTGTTCCCTGTCCTCTGTTGACTTGCTGGGTTAGGGTGGAGGGGCAGCCCAGCCTGGAATAGTCCTACTGCCCACTCTCGGTCAGCATTTCCTTCCTCCCTGCCCACAGGCCACCCCTCTGCTTTGACGGCACAAGCCTTCTCTGTGGTGGTCTAGGAAGGTGGGCTCTGGCTTAGAAGCCAGAGTGCCTGGGTTCCTCTCTCAACCCGCCTCTCCACTTACCTCCCCCAGCCCCACACCACGAGTTATATGATCTTGGACAAGTTACTTAGTCTCTCTGAGCTTGTTTGGCCATTTGCAAAATGGGGAGGATAATATTTGCCACCCAGGATGAAATGGATAATATAAAGGAAGTACCTGGTACAGTTGGTGCTTAATAAGCAATATCTGCAATGATCAGTGGAATTAACATTATTGTTCATTACTATTACTCCCCCCCACAGAAGGGAACTGCTCGGTTTCCCAAGGATTACCAAGACCACAGCTACCTCTGCTCCCT